TAAAGAGAAAGCAAAAGAGACAGAAGAAACACACACACAAAAAGAAAGTCAAAAGTAAACACGACAAACAATGAGCGAACGAACGAAACGGGAATAGTAATCCGAAGTCGAAGCCGAAGTCAAACGAAAAAAAAAAAAAAAAAAAACATCGTGGATCAAGACGTTTACTTTTTTCTTTACGAAGGAGGAATGACGTAGGAGAAAAAAAAATAGAAAAAGAAAAAAAAGAAGAAAGAGAACATGGCGTTATTGATTGCGTTTTAAACCATCCTTGAGAAGAGCTATTGACGTGGGCGTGGCGAGGATATGGGCGTGCTTTCTCTCTTCATCCAATCTTTCTTGTCTCCTTCTCTATGTATCCATCTTTATCGGCGTGTTTTCTTTCTCTTTCCGACCTTTTCTATTCTCTTCCTCCATATATCCATCTTTTATGACCTTGCTTTCTCTCTCATCCAATCTTTCTTGTCTCCTTCTCTATGTAACTCTTTATCGGCGTGTTTTTTCTTTCTCTTTCCGATCTTTCTATTCTCTTCCTCCTATGTATGCCATCTTTATCGGCGTGTTTTCTTTCTCTTTCCGATCTTTCTATTCTCTTCCTCTCTATTATCCATCTTTATCGGTTGTTTCTTTCTCTTTCCCGATCTTTCTATTCTCTTCCTCTATGTATCATCTTTATCGGCGTGTTTTCTTTCTCTTCCGATCTTTCTATTCTCTTCCTCTATGTATCCATCTTTATCGGCGTGTTTTCTTTCTCTTTCCGATCTTTCTATTCTCTTCCTCTATGTATCCATCTTTATCGGCGTGTTTTCTTCTCTTTCCGATCTTTCTATTCTCTTCCTATGTATCCATCTTATCGGCGTGTTTTCTTTCTCTTTCCGATCTTTCTATTCTCTTTCTCTATGTATCCATCTTTATCGGCGTGTTTTCTTTCTCTTTCCGATCTTTCTAATCTCTTCCTCTATGTATCCATCTTTATCGGCGTGTTTTCCTTTCTCTTTCCGTTCTTTCTATTCTCTTCCTCTCTATGTATCCATCTTTATCGGGTGTTTTTCTTTCTCCTCTTTCCGTCTTTCTATTCTCTCCTCTATGTATCCATCTTTATCGGCGTGTTTCTTTCTCTTTCCGATCTTTCTAATTCTCTTCCTCTATGTATCCATTTTATCGGCGTGTTTCTCTTCTCTTTCCGATCTTTCTATTCTCTTCCTCTATGTATCCATCTTTATCGGCGTGTTTTCTCTCCTTATCCGATCTTTCTATTATCTTCCTCTATGTATCCATCTTTATCGGCGTGTTTTCTTTCTCTTTCCGATTTTCTATTCTCTTCCTCTATGTAATCCATTTCGGCGTGTTTCTTCTCTTTCCGATCTTTCTATTCTCTTCCTCTATGTATCCATCTTTATCGGCGTGTTTTCTTTCTCTTTCGATCTTTTCTATTCTCTTCCTCTAGTATCCATCTTTATCGGCGTGTTTTCTCTCTTATCCGATCTTTCTATTCTCTTCCCTCTATGTATCCATCTTTATCGGCGTGTTTTCTTTCTCTTCCGATCTTTCTATTCTCTTCCTCTAGTATCCATCTTTATCGGGCGTGTTTTCTTTCTCTTCCGATCTTTCTATTCTCTTCCTCTATGTATCCATCTTTATCGGCCGTGTTTTTCTCTCTTATCCGAATCTTTCTATTCTCTCCTCTATGTATCCGTCTTTATCGGCGTGTTTTCTTTCTCTTTCCGATCTTTCTAATTCTCTTCCTCTATGTATCCATCTTTATATCGACTTTCGTCGCTTTGTTCTTTCTTTATTCCAATCTGTTCCTCGAATGGCGTGTTTTCTTTCTCTTTCCGAATCTCTTCTTATGTATCTTCATCTTTAATGTATCCATCTTTATCGGCGTGTTTTCTCTCTTTATCCAATCTTTCTTGTCTCCTTCTCTAATGTAATCCATCTTATCTGTTTTTCTTTCTCTTTCCGATCTTTCTATTCTCTTCCCTCTATGTATCTCTCTTTATCGGCGTTTTTCTTCTTCTCTTTACGATCTTTCTATTCCATTCCTCCTATGTAATCCATCTTTATCGGCGTGTTTTCTCTCTTTCCGATCTTTCTAATTTTCTCCTTCCTCTATGTATCCATCCTTTTATCGGCGTGTTTTCATCTCCTTTTCCAATTCTCTCTTTTCTTTTTTCTTCCTAAATGAATCCATCTTTATCGGCGTGTTTTCTTTCTCTTTCCGATCTTTCTATTCTGCTTCCTTCATGTATCCATCTTTAATCGGCGTGTTTTTCTTTCTCTTTACCGATTCTTTTTTATTATCTTCCTCTATGTATCCATCTTTATCGGCGTGTTTTCTTGTCCCTTTCTCTATCATTCTCTATGTATCCATCTTTATCGGCGTGTTATCTTTCTTATTCTCTCCTTATGTATCCATCTTTATGACCTTGTTTTCTTTCCTTATCCGATCTTTCTATTCTCTTCCTCTATGTATTTATCTTTATCCTTGTGAATCTTT